AAGAACCTGTATCAAGCAACAGACAGCGTAAATCAAAGTCGGTTAATGGCGCAACTGACAACAGTCGAAATGAAACCAGGCGAAAAAGGGATGGCGTATATCAGCCGTTGTCGCGAATTGCGCGACAAACTCCTTCGATGTGGAGGGTCGATTTCAGAAGACGCCTTCGTCACAGTCATCATTGGTGGCCTCGGTCCTCAGTGGCGCTCCACCCGCGCCATACTCCAAGCACATGGAAAGATATCAGAAGCAGCACTCTGCGCTGAAATCCATGCTGAGCAGCAAGATATGGATCTGCAAGAGGAACGACACAAGAAGAAGGTATCAGTGCCCGAATTTGCATTCCACACTCAACGACGCTACAACAACAACAATCGGCATCAACCGAAACCAGTACCTCCGTTCTGTCACCTTTGCAAGATGTCAGGGCATCCTCGCTCACACTGCCCTAACCGACAACAGTCAGTACCAACGCAGCGGCAGCTTCGGCCTTTAAGTAGTCAAGTTACCTCAACGCAAGCGAGTTCGACCTCAACAACATCGACGGGACAACCTGCGCAAGAACCAAGAAACATTGTCAGTTGCATGACACGACTGACCGACTCATGCATCACAGAGTCACCACCATATTACTCACCGGAAGAACAACTCGACAACAGTACGTCTCGCCGCGAGTCACTTCAACCAAATCCGACGTATGCAGCTATCGCTCAAAGCGAGCCGTCCGGAAAGGATACGTGGTTCTTGGACAGTTGCTGTGGACAGCATATGTGCTCCTCAGGACGCTTTGTCCAACGTGAACACCAACTCCAACGTGAAGTCGTCATCACCGTCGCCAACAATCAGAACCTGCGCACGCGACGACAAGGCGTAGTACAACTTCAGTCACGAGAAACAAACGTCATACTGCAGATGTCAAAAGTTTTGATAGCAGAAGGACTCGGTTACAACCTGCTGAGCGTCAGTCAGCTGATGGCGAAGGGCATACACCTCGAGGCAGACAGCACCACTCAGGAGTTTAAACTATACCATGGCAAGGGTGGTCTCTACATCGGAAAGGCAGTCTTAAAAAACAATGTCTTCGTCCTCGACTTCGTCCCAGACCTCGGCACTGCTGACAGCGATAGGATCGTCACCTTCACCTCTTGGACACATCCACCGGATCTTGACCCCGACTTCAGTCCGGAAGGATTCTGGTACTCGCACACCATCCCTGAAGCAGAACGAACAAGAGCATTAGCAACGATTCAACACCCGGCAGCAGCAGAAACAACATCGGCAGCAGCAGAAACATCAGCAACACCAACACTTACAACACCAGTCGCGAGTTCTTCAACGACATCACCACACATCGACAATGCTTCACCGACTCCTGCGCAACAGATAACTCCCACACCTCGCGAAGTTCACAGAAGCGCCAACTTCACCGCCGCTTTCTACTCCAACTCCGACCTGTATCGTCGTTCACCCGGACATCGCGCCAATGAAGACATCTGGCACGCACGAATGGGACACCCAAGCAACACGGTGTTAAACAATACAATCCGAGCAGGCGTACTCGACAAAGATTCACTACTCCTAACGGATGGAAGCGAACTTCGACGAGCCCGCGGAACGTGTTTTACCTGCCCCGAAGCTGACTTACCGCATCGACCTTTCACTTCTCACCACAACCCCAGCGCACCAGCTTACGCACCACTTGAAAAGGTGTACAGCGACATCCTGTACAATCGCGAACCCGGACAAGGAGCATACAGTTATACCATCACGTTCATCGATGCAGCTACACGTTACGTCTGGCACCTCAATCTTCCAAGCAAGGACATGGCCTTCGAAGCCTTCATCGCTTGGCTCCCAGTAGCAGAACGAGAATCGGGCGAGAAACCGAAGAGCTTTCAGTCAGACGGAGGAGGAGAATACACCTCACAGAGGTTCAAGCAGTTCTTGGCAGAAAAGGGAATCAAGAGGCTCATCTCCCTTCCTTACGCCCATCAACAGCAAGGCGTGGCGGAACGGATGAATCGAACTCTCCAGAACACCATGCGCAAGTTACTGCGTGGCATGCGACTGCCCAATCACCAGTGGCCTGAAGCGATGGACCACGCTGTCATGCTGCACAACTTGCTTTCGTCGTCGTCATTACCGAACAACGCATCACCGCACCTGCTGTGGATAGGAAAACAGGGCAGCACAAAAATGTTAAGAGTTTTCGGCTGCATGGTACAGTACCGACCCCCATCTGGACGAGCCGGCCGATTTTCTCAACGCGCACAGTGGGGACTACACCTGGGCATCGAAAAGAATTACAACGCGTGGAAGATTTTCGACGTCCACTCCAAAGAAACAGTAGCAGCACGTGACGTCATTTTCTACGAACGACTCACCCTTCCGACATACCTTGCCAACCTGGAAGAAAATCGGGATCCCACAGGTGGCTTCCATGGTGACCGACACTTCGCCTCGGCAGCAGACGAAGCTGACTGGGACGAGCAGAACCTGGATAACGCCTCCGAAGAAGCAGGACCACTCCCTTACTGCTCCGTTCCCATCCCGATGGATGACGAAAATCCTCGCGACAGCGTCAACGCCGAAACTTATTTCGACCTCGCCGACACTGGTTACGTTACACCTGCAGAAGTCAACACCAACGAAGCAGAACGCATAGGGCCCCATTTCATACCTGACCCAGAAGCCGGTGACGAAGTAGCTTATCCCGCGGACACCACACTCCCCCGCTACACACATAGTGGACTTCAGATACTTGGTCTCGTCACCGCGGTCCACGGCACGGATCCTCCTAAGGAGCCTGCCACAGTTCAGCAGGCTCTGGGGGGGGAACATAGGGAAAAATGGCGTGAAGCCATGGACAAGGAATTGAAAGCACTACAGGAGCGCAACACCTGGAAGGTTGTTCCTATTGGCGTGGCACGAAACAAGATGATACTCACCGGGAAGTGGGTCTTCCGTGTGAAGACGAAAGCAGATGGCACCATCGACAAGTTCAAGGCACGCTGGGTTGTACGTGGCTTCGACCAAGAGCACGGACGCGATTTTACTGAGACATTCGCACCGGTTAGTCGACATACTTCACTACGGATTCTTCTCGCGGTCGCCGCTATGAAAAAGAAGAAACTGCGGCAAATCGACGTCGCCAATGCTTTTCTCTACGCACCTGTCGACGCAGAGATCTACGTCGAACTCCCACATGGTTCTCACGGAGAGCCCAATCAAGTCTGTCAACTGCAAAAATCTCTGTACGGGATTAAACAGGCCCCGAGACTGTGGCAGCAGTACTTACACGCTCGGCTCACTCGCATCGGATTCAAGCAGCTGCCGCACGACCAAGGCATGTACCGATTCACGAAAGACGACGACTACATTCTACTAATCGTCTACGTAGACGATCTGCTTTACATCGGATCAACCGACAATATCACTACCTGGTTCGAAGGGGAGTTACAGAAAGAACTTACGCTCACGGTTTCATCTACCGTCACGCAATACCTCGGCCTCAACATCCAAGAAGGAGAAGACGCGATCTATCTCAACACCGCAAAGTATGCCGACACCATCGCCAAACGGTTCGCACTCACGCCAACTACAATCTCCACGCCATACCGCTACACGGCAGGAAATGACAAGACAGAATCTGCTCCACTGAAACCCGCCGGCATACGCAACTACCAGAGAAAGCTGGGATGTCTTCTCTTCACGGCCGTCACCTGCCGTCCAGACCTATCTTACCCAGCAAGTCAACTCGCCACCTATCTCAAAAGGCCTGAAGACGAACACATGAAGGAGCTCGATCGCGCTTTACACTACCTCGTAAGCATCCCGACGATCGGCCTGATCTACTATAAGAATATAACTACAACGCCCAAGCTAATCGGCTACGTCGACGCCGACCACGCCGGAGACTCTGATAACAGGCGCTCGCGCACAGGCTACATCTACCGCCTCGAACCTATCGGACCTATTTCATGGCATTCGAGCAAACAGGAATTAATCGCCCTCTCCTCAGCTGAAGCTGAATATATCGCACTCTGCTCAGCCACCAAGGAAGGATTGTATCTTCGCGAACTCCTGGAGGAAGCGAAGCTGGCCCAGTTACCCAGCTTCTCCCTATTTTGCGACAACCAGTCGGCAATTCGCATCGCCAAAAAAAATGGATTTGCGAACAGGACGAAACATATCGCCCTGCGATATTTCTTCGTAAAGGACGAGATCGAGAAGGGAAGACTTGAGCTGTCTTACTGCCCCACATCCGAGATGGCAGCTGATTACTTGACCAAGAAGCTTGGAAAGTCGAAGTTCGAATATTGCATGCTGCTGACTGGACAGAGCCACGTCACCTGCAGCGACACTCCAGAAGCGAAGGGGAGTGTTGGAAACAACTAACTTAAGCGCCTCTGTCGTGTCGAAACACCAAGACAAAAGCGAAGTGGTTCATATCGAGACATCGGTGAGTCAACCCTCGGAGGTTGAATAACTGCTGAGAGGTTACGCGAAAGTCAAAGGTCAGCGACCTTTGACCTGACAAATGCAGCGCGACAGCAAGGACAAACAACTGTCTCGATACTGAGCAGTTGCCCGAGTCGACACTGTATCGAACCGCAACAGCACTAGTAAAACAGTTAGTAACCGTATCTTTTCATATTCTCTGTATTCTTATAAAAGCTTGTATCTCTTTTGTTTAATCAACTTACTTTGCCCTCACATACAAGCGCAAGGTGGTTCACAATCTTTCATTAAACGCTTCCGCTACTACATCATCCTATTCTTGAGTTCTGCCCTGCAAAGATCCTAAAGGGCTTTTTCAGCCCAACAGCTATATCTACCGCCTGTAAGCCCTCATGAGTTCAACAAGAGTCACAAACAAAGGAAAATCATGCAAGGCTTAAGAATTAACAACTAAAGACTGCAAAGTACAGTAAGCTCCAGTCACCATGGTTACCGGAACAGGGGTGCCGGCCTCTTCAGGTATTAAAGCGAGTGTAGACTTAAGAAGGGGCACCGAGGAAGGCGGCAAGGCGCAGGAGGTCACTGAACACGCCACCCGCAGTGACCTCAGCCCCGGCACCAGGGCCGCGCACAATGAGGGGCTGCACGTTGTAGCGGTAGGTGACGAATGAGATGATGTTGTCTGAGCCCACTAGCTGTGTGAAGGCGTGCGTGCGCGGATACTGGCGCAGCTCCACTCGGCCTTCTCTCTTGTCCATGTCCACCACTCCCACGTAGCGCAGGACCTGAAGGGATAAGAGAGGGAAGGTAGGAGGAAAGAAGGGAAAAAGGGAGAGGGAAGAGAGGAGGGGAAAGAGAGGATGAGAGGAGGCAGAGGGGAGAGGGAGTAAGGTGGAGCAGAGGAAGGAGATGATGTTGTCTGAGCCGACTAGCGAAGGCGTGCGTGCGCGGGTACTGGCGGAGTTCCACTCGCCCCTCCCTCTTGTCCATGTCCACCACTCCCACGTAGCGCAGGACCTAGAGGGATTTGAGGGGATTCGAGGGATTTGGAGGGAGGCATTGGGAGAGGGAGAGTGGGAGAGAGGGACATAAGGAGAGGGAGTGAGGGATATGGAAGGCGAGCGGGAAAGAGGAAGAGAGGGGAAGAGAAGTGAGGTAGAGGAAGACAAAGGAGATGATATTGTCAGAGGGAACGAACAGGACCAGCATGCAAGGAGCATTTGCGATGAGAAGGATAGCTGGATAGCATTCAGTCTGCAGTTGCCAACACACACTCACCTCGCCCGTCTCCTCGGCCGCCTTCCTCTTGGCCTCCATCTCATCGTCAAATTCAGGCAGCCGCTGCATGAACTCGTCCACACTCGCCACGTGCTGCCAGGGAAGGAGGGAGGGGCGGTGAGGGAGAGGGGAGGAGATGGAGGTGGGTCTGGTGCCTTGAGGCTTCGAGTCGCTGCATGAACTCGTTTTTGCCAGCCACGAGCTGAGGGAGGGGAGGGAACAGGACAGTGGGAGGGGGAGTAATGGGGACGGCAGGAGGAGGGGAGTTTGATGCCTGACTTGACTGCCTGTTTCCTCACATTCAGATAAACAATGAATTGAGCTCAGCCATGCTTACTACCGCAATGGCACCATCATTGCCATACCTGGAGAGCCTCGTGCTTCACCATCGGACCTGACCACTAGTGGAAGGTCATTGGTCCAACTCGTTACCACACCTGAAGAGCCTCATTTACCATACTTTTATTTTGATTATTGTATTTGAAGAGCATCTGTACCATACCTGGAGAGCCTCGGGCACAAGGCTTTGGACGGGTACTTGGTCCAGCTCGAGGCGAAGACCACACTCCCTCGCCAAAATGACCACCTGTGAGAGATGAGAGATGATGGGGATAGAGCAGGAATAGGACGAGGATGTGATGAGGATGGGATGGGATGTGATGGAATGGGATGGAGATAAGATGTATTAGGATGGGATAGGGATGGGGATGAGATGGGGGACAAAGATAGTGAATGTTGAGTTCTCGTCCACAATGACACACCCATCCCACCTCCCACACATTCCCTCCCAACGCTACCCTCATCCCCCTCGCCACATCACATCCATGCCTCCCAGACCATCCATGCTATCAAGTGAGCCCTCGCCTCTCCTCCATTGCAACCCTGTGAGCCCTCGTCTCTCCTCCTCACGTCGATCGTGCTTCCTACCTCTAAACATTCTTTCCCAATGCTCCTCTCACCTTCCTCGCCACGTGTCCATGCCCTCCAAGTCGTCTCTGGGATAGGGCTCTGTGAACCCGTTGGCGCGTGCCTCTGCCACGACCAGTACGTTCCTCACCAGCCACCAAGCGTTCCGCATCTCACTGATACGTCGTCCTAAGATATAGTTTAAGTTGATGGACATAAGACCTCCGCAGCCCACCTGTTGAACACTGACCGCATCTCAACAGCACCTGACAGCATCTCACTGCACCCCCCCGGCCACCATCCTTACCTTACCCATGCTCTGTTTCTATGCCCTCCTCACCTTCCTCGCCACGTCCATGCCCTCCAGATCATCCCTGGGGTCAGCCTCAGTGAACCCATTGGCGCGCCGCGCACCTCTGCCACGACCAGGACTTGCCCCATCAGCTTCTAAGCGCCCCTCACCAACCGGCGCGTTCTCTTTCACGCCCTCCTTCTCACCTTCCTCGCCACGTCCATGCCCTCCAGGTCGTCCCTGGGATCAGGCTCCGTGAACCCATTGGCGCGTGCCTCTGCCACGATCTGTGAGAAGGGCTTGCTGCCATCAAAGCTGTTGAAGATGTAGCTCAGCGTGCCACTGGTGGGGGAGTAGGTGGGGGGGTGTAGATGGGGAATGGGGAGGAAACAAGGGAGAACAAGGCATGAGAGATTATGTGGGTGTGTGCGGTCCTGCATTCTGCTGATGTCTGCTTTTGCCACAATTTGCGAGAAGGGCTTGCTGCCATCAAAGTTGTTGAAGATGTAGCTCAGCGTGCCACTGGTGGGGGAGTAGGTGGGGGGGTGTAGATGGGGAATGGGGAGGAAACAAGGGAGAACAAGGCATGAGAGATTACGTGGGTGTGTGCGGTCCTGCATCCTGCTGATGTCAGCTTTTGCCGCAATTTGCGAGAAGGGCTTGCTGCCATCAAAGCTGTTGAAGATGTAGCTCAGCGTGCCACTGGTGGGGGGAGGTGGCGAGAGGGGGGAAGGGGGTTAAGGGGAAGACCAGGGAGGGGGGAGCGGGAGGAGTGGGGGGGAGACCCTCTCCCAACTAAAGATTCCATCAATGCGGTGCATGCACGCGTGTGTAGCAGGCACTTGGGAGTGCCTGCTATATGCTGCTGTATGCTCGCAGTCACCCATCCCTCATCCATGACACACCTGAAGATGCCTTCCATGCGGTGAATGTGGTCGCCTGTGTCCAGCAGCTCCTAGGGTGTTGCCACTATGGGCAGCCCTTGGGGAAAGCGCCTACAACTTGTTGCTATGTATCGCGAAGCGAGCACACCACAAGCATCCACCCGTATCTCTCTGCATCACTCTGCACACCTGAAAATGCCTTCGATGCGGTGGATGTGGTCGCCTGTGTCCAGCAGCCCCTTGAGAGTTGCCACTATGGGCAGCCCGGCTCCCACGGTGGCCTCATACAGGTAGTGCGTGCACAGCTCGCGCTGCAGCTGACGGATCTTCAAGTACTGGAGGAGGGGAGACATAGGGCAAGAAAGAGGTGGGAGAGACGGGTGGTGGGGAGGGAAGGATGAGCGGGCAGTGGTGCCACACCAGCTCCCACAGTGGCCTCATCGAGGTAGTGCTTGCACAGCTCCCGCTGCAGCTGACGAATCTTGAGGTACTGCGGAGGGGAAATAGGTAGGGGGGAAGGAGAAGGGAAGGCCGGCGAAAAGAAGAGAGGAATAAGCAGTCTTTGAGAATTCTAAAAAAGGTGCCAATCCGACCCCCACGGTTGCCTCATAGAGGTAGTGCGTGCACAGCTCGCGCTGCAACTGGCGGATCTTGAGGTACTGGAGGAGGGGCAGAGTAGGGCAAGGAAGAGAGGGGACAGACGGGTGGTAAGGAGGGAAGGATGAGCAGGCAGTGGTGCCACACCGGCTCCCACGGTGACCTCGTACAGGTAGTGCTTGCACAGCTCGCACTGCAGCTGACGAATCTTGAGGTACTGGAGGAGAGGAGGGGAAAGGAGAAGGGGAAGGACCGGCCAAAGAGGAACGAGGAGTGAGCTATGGTGCCGCACTGGTTCCCATGGTGACCTTGTACTAGAGGTAGTGTGCGCACAGATCACGCTGCAACTGACGGATGTTGAGGTACTAGGGGAGGGATGGGGAAGGAGGGAGTTTGAGAACAAAGAGACAGGAGGGAAGGAACGGTATTAGCTTGGTTCCCCCATTGTGGCTTCATACAGGTAGTGTGCGCACAGCTTGTGCTGCAGCTGACGGATCTTGAGGTATTGGAGGCAGGGTGGGGAGGGTAGGAGGAACGGAGAGAAAAATGTGATGTGCTGTGCTGTGCAAATCTTGCAACGCGGCACCTGTACTGACCCTCTCAGCATTTCAAGCCTGCAGCAGTGGCAGTGCAGGTGCCGCGTTGCACACGACCTCTACGCTGTTGAACAAGGAAGATATGACGCCCTACCTCTTTTAGGGGCCCCGAGTTGGCCTTCTTGTTGGGGGTGACCACATGCAGCCCCTCGGCCAGCCACGTGGGGTATTTATCCGCCACGTCACTGCTGGCAGTGCAGTCCACCACCACCGTGTTGGGCAGCCCATGGTGCCCGTCCATCAGCGACGCCTCAAACGCCACCATGTCCGCTGCCTCCCCTCTCTCCGCCAGCTCTTCACGCCAGTTGCTCAGGTGCACGCCCCTGGGAGGGTGGGTGTGTGTGGTGCAGGGAGTGGGGGGGATGGGAGAAGAGGAGGAGCAAGAGAAAGGAGCAATGGCACATAATGATGAGGATGGTGCTGCTGGCTGCTGGCTGCTGGCTGCTGGCTGCTGGCTGCTGGCAGTGCAGTCCACCACCACCGTGTTGGGCAGCCCGTGGTGCCCGTCCATCAGAGACGCCTCGAATGCCACCATGTCCGCCGCCTCGCCCCGCGTTCCCAGCTCCTCGCGCCAGTTATCCAGTTGCACGCCCCTGGGAGGGTGGGATGGGGGATGTGTGAGATGATGTGGTGGGCAGCCCGTGGTGCCCGTCCATCAGCGACGCTTCAAACGCCACCATGTCTGCCGCCTCGCCCCGCTTTTCCAGCTCCTCCCGCCAGTTTCTCAGATGCACGCCCCTGGGAGGGAGAAGGGGGAGTGTGGAGGGGGAAGGGAGGGGATCACAGGGAGCCAATGATGCCCCATATCCTAGCATCAACCAGTTCACCTTCCCCCCAAAACAATCTCGCCCTGTGCTCTCTGATCACCACCTTCAGCCCACCCTCACCTGTTATCGATGAGCATCTTATTCGCGCCAATAATCCCCACCACGCGCATATCAATATTGAACTCCTTCTTCAGACTCGCCCTCTGGTCCCTGATCTGATCCAGCAGCGTGCTGCCAATCAGCCCCGGGCCAACCAGCGCCACCGCCAGGGGCGTCTGGGAGTGGTAGAACCGCCCGTGCGCCGCCCGCAGAGCAGCCGGCGCATCACTCCTATCGACCACCACTGTGATATTATACTCGGAGCATCCCTGTGCGATCGCCCGCACATTCACCCTCGCCTTGGCCAGCGCGGCGAAGAGAGCAGCCGAGACCCCCGGCGTGCTGGCCATGCGCTGCCCGACGGCTGCCAGGACTGTGCAGTGCGGGATGACCTCGATGTCATGCACGCGATTTGTTTCGATTGCGCGGCGGAAGGTGGTGCGGAGCGCGGCCGCGACCATGTCGGCTTCGGCCTCGGGCACGGCGAAGCACACGGAATGCTCGGAGGAGGCCTGTGAGATGGCAATGACGTTGGCCCCCACGTTCTTGACTGCACTGAAGATCTGGCTTGCGATACCGGGCACTCCTGCCATGCCCGTGCTGGGAGTAGGAGCAAGAGGGGGAAGGAAAGGTGGGGAAGGAAAGAGAGAAGAGGGGAAGGGAGAAGAGGGAAGTAGCAGAGGGAAGGAGGAAAGAGGAGTTGTCGGTACAGCTGTTAGATGGTGCGGCTGAGAAGCAGTCAGAGGGCTTGGAGGAGGGGTTGAAGAGTGTCACGTTGTCAATGGTGGCAAAGCCCTTGACTACAGCATCCAAGGGGTCAGCCCCGTGCGAGTCCAGCTGCTCGTTGTGAGCTGCCTTGTGCTCATCGTGGGAACGACAAAACACCACGGCACAGTGGCACAGAGACCAAAGAAAGGACTCACCCAGCCACGTTGACGAGCGCCACGTTGTCAATAGTAGCAAAGCCCTTCACAACAGCGCAGGGGGGTCCGACCCCTCCTCCAGCAGCTCAACCAGTCCGTACGGCACACTGCCACATGCTTATAGGAAGGACTCACCCAGCAACGTTGACGAGCGCCACGTTGTCAATAGTAGCAAAGCCCTTCACAACAGCGTCCAGGGGGTCCGACCCCTCCTCCAGCAGCTCATTGTGAGCCGCCTCGTGCTCCTCGTCCGAAAAGGAGTCATGGGAGCGACCGATGCGCGTGCCGGGCGCCGTGGGGTTGAAGGCGTTGCGGATGAACATGGGGATGGCGTACTTCATCACTGGGAGCGTGGTGCGCGGATGCAGCACGTTGGCTCCGAAGTAGGACTGTTGAAAGGGAAGGGAGGAGGGAGACGGGTTTAAGAGGATGCGGATAAACACGGGGATGGCATATTTCATCACTGGGAGCGTTGTGTGCGGGTCGAGGACGTTGGCTCCAAAGTAGGATTGAAAGTGGTGGGAGGGAGAGGGCGAACAGGGCACGCTGTTGTGTGAGGTTATGGGGCACTACTATGCTATGGTACGTTATGGCATGCTATAGCACGCTGTGCTGTGCAACGTAGTGCGATAGCAGGCTCAGACATGCCACGCATGGGATATGTGCTCTTGGCTTACCACCTCCCAACTACCATACCCCATGCCACATGCCCCATGCCCCATCTCCCATGTCCCATGTGCCATGCCACATCCCACATGCCACATGCCACATGTCCATGCAACATCCCATAGCTTTCCAGCTCCCATCCCATGCCATACCCATGCAGCACCATGCCCCATGCCCCAAACCTCATCCACCATCTCCCACGGCTTACCAGCTCCCACGCCTCTTGATAGGAGAGGTTCTTGAGAATGACAGCATCCGGCACTGCACGTAGCATGGGCGGAGGGGGGAGGGGCCGAGAAGGGGAAGAGAGGGGAAGAACGGAGAGGACGAGAGAGTGAGTGAGGTGACAGTGTAAGATGGGCATGGTGGCTTACAGGACACTTTAATGCTGCTACTCTAGTCTCCCTCCCTCACACTCACTCCCTCACTCAAAAACACTTGCTCGCATTCTACTCACCCACTCAATCACCCGTTCCCTTATATCCCATACTCACCTTTCCTGGGGTCAGACGAGTAGACCCCTTCCACGTCTGTCCAGATGAACCTCCTCCCAGCCTTGTGCAGCAATCCAAAGCGAATGACCCCGAGCCCTTTGCTTCCCCCTCTCCCCACCGCCACACACCTTTCCTGGGGTCAGCCGAGTAAACCCCGTCCACGTCCGTCCAGATGATCACTCTGCCAGCGCGCAGCAGCGACCCAAAGATGGCAGCAGAGAGGTCACTGCCGTCACGCTTGAGCGTGGTGGGCACGCCATCCTCTGTGCGCGCAATGAACCCCGTCGCCACCACCAGATCCGGCCCCCCGCCCTCGTAGTGCCCATGGTCGCCACGAGCGGCATACCAGGCATGGAGGTTCTCCTCACAGCGCTCGTAGTTGGGATCAACCTGGGGTGGGGTGATAGGGCACGTGGTATGACACATGGTATGTTCTGATCGCCCAGACTTCTGTGGTGTACCTGACAACCACTTAGGACTGAACCTGTCTACGCCGCCCAGAATCAACCACCGTAACTGGTTGCCGCCCAGAACTGTACCTGACTGCCGCCCAGAATAAACGGCTGTACCTGATTGCCGCCCATAATCAACAGCCTACCTGATTGCCGCACCTGACTGCCGCCCAGATTCATCAGTCGTACCTGATTGCCGCCCTCCGCTGGATGCACCACGAGCACGTCGCGCGCATCCATGAACGCCACCTTCTTGCCCGTCACCTGGGGAGAGGGGAGGGGAGAGGAAAGGGGGGAGGGGGAGAGGAAAGGGGGGAGGGGGAGAGGAAAGGGGGGAGGGGGACAGGAGGGGTAAGATGTCGGCAGTGCACGGCACACGTCGCGCGCATCCATAAACGCCACCTTCTTGCCCGTCACCTGGGGAGAGGGGAGGGGAGAGGAAAAAGGGGGAAGGGAACAGGGGGGGGTAAGATGTCGGCAGTGCACGGGCGGGCCAAAGCCCGCCGGGCCTCACGATGAAGGGCAGAGCACCTGGAGGTCAGTGGGAATAGCAACTATATGCGACAAACTCCTCTCGCCCTGCCTGCTACTGCAATGACTCTCACCTTGCGCAATCCCGCTCACCTTCTGCAGAGAGGCGGCGAGGATCATGGCAGACCAGAGCTCGCCGTGCCCCACGATGAGGACCCAGCGCACCTGGTCTCCCGCCCTGCCTCTCGCCTTGCCTCTCGCCCTGCCTCTCGCCCTGCCTTCAGCAATACTCTTACCTTGTGCAACCAACGCTCACCTTCTGCACCGTGGCGGCGAGGATCATGGCGGACCAGAGCTCGCCGTGCCCCACGATGAAGTCCGTGAAGATCTCCGTCGAGCTGCCCGCTGGGAGAGGGCGAGTGAGAGGGAGAGGGAGAGGGGGAGGAGACAGGGGGATACAGGGGGGAAGCAGCAACGTAAATACCTCCGTGGAGCTGCCCGCTGCGGAATGGCGAAGAGAGGTGGGGTGGGGGGGAGAGAGGGTGGGAAGGGGGTATTGAAGAGGACCAACGAACACGGCTTTCTAAGCGGCTTGAAGGTTCACTAGCTCCTCGTCGATATTTTCCGTCTTTACCTACCTTACAGTTCCCATGTCTTCACCGCTCAGAAGCACTCAGCGATGGAGATGGTTTTCAGCATGGCTTTAAGGTTGATCAGGTCCTCATCGATGCGCTCCATGATCTTCCTACATTTCTACACCTCTGCCCTGCCATAACCCATGCTAGAACACTCACCAATGGAGATGGCTTTGAGCATGGCTATAAGGTTGAACAGGTCCTCATCGATACGCTCCATGATCTTCCTACACTTACACACTTCTGCTCTATTACGAACCATGCTAGAGCACTCACCGATGGAGATGGCTTTGAGCATGGCTTTAAGGTTGATCAGGTCCTCGTCGATGCGCTCCATGATCTTCTTCGCCTCCGCGTCCTCCTCCCCCAGCAGCTCTGCCGCCGCCGCGCGGTGCTTCTCGCGCAGCTGCGCTATAAGCTCCGCCCACCCGCTCACGTCCTTCGCGGCCGCCTTGTCCAACAACGAGTACAGAATGTTGGTGACCTTGGGAGTGCCGCCCATGGCCGACACGACGACGAAGCGACGCTCCGCGGGGTCGCTGGCGACGATGCGTGCGACGTTGAGGATTCGCTCGGCGGATCCCACGCACGTGCCGCCGAACTTGTGCACGGACCAGCTGCCGCCCTGCGGCATGGTCATGTCCGCCACTTCGAAGTCCGTGTTGATGTCCTCTGCGGAGGGAGAATGGGAAGGAAGAGAGCGGGTAGGAAGAATGGCATAGGGGGGAGGACGGCATGAGGCACAAGACAAACCCGCGCACGTGCCTTGGAGGTTGTGCACGGACCAGCTGCGAACCAGATGCCGCTCTGCGGTATGGTCATGTCAGCCACCTTGAAGCCTGTGTTGATGTCCTCTGGAAGGGACGAGGGTAAGCGGGAGAAGAAAACGGGTACAAAGAATTGCGATCTCGTCACTACTCGCTTTAACGGAAAGCACTCCATGCCGCACTTTGAGAGAAGGCTAACCAGAATATGGAGGTCTTGACTTAGAGGTGCCTCATGGACACATTTGAACGCACATTCCGTGAGAAGGTTCTGAGGGTTTGGAAGAAAATTCAGCTTTGGAACTTCGCAGTGTGGCTTCTGTGGTGCGAAAGAATGCTTTCGTACGGATGCGGAAAGCGGCCCTAGCCCTAGGTTGCTGGAGGTACCATTAATAAAGCGTGTCTGTTCAAGGAGGAACAGACGCTTACCGGCAATAGCGGCGCGAACGGCGGTGGAGGGACGCGATGCAGGCGCGGGAGCAGCCCTGCCGGTCCTGCATTGGCGAAATGGGGAAGGCAGGACAGATAAAGAGGACGTCAGAAATCTCCAAAGCAACCCTAGCAGTCCTGCATTGACGCAGTGAGAAGGCAGGTGAGACTGAATATCAGGAACAGCCTTACGTAGTCGGCACTACGAAGGCAAAGAGTGGGTATGTTCCTACGGAGTAAACCTGAGTGACAGAGATAGCAATACAAGCTTGAATAGTGGATACGGAGTTGAAACACATCATTGATCAAGAAAGCTAAGGGAAGAATGAAGAAGCGAGGAGGAGTTCAGAACAAGAAGGCCCTAAAAGAATCAGCAACCTTCACCAAGCGAGCGACACAGTGAGAACTCCTCGACGTGAGGCGAAGCATATTATGCTTCGTAACAATGTAAACGAGCGGTTACATTCTTTGCGAGCTGAGCGTACTCCTTACAGGCAAACAGGGAACTCTATAATGGACAGCGACGAGTTATGTTCAGCGCACTCACCCCTTGAGCTTCTGCTTCGCGGCAGACTTGCGCGTTTTAGAGGCCTTGAGTCCATTGAATGATGGGAGAGCGCGTTCTGCAGTGGCGACCGTCGGGACGGATTTGACAGGCGTGAGTCCCAACACCTTGGCACACTGAAGAGCAGCCATGATTTCGTGATAACCCCGCTATCTAAGCTTTTCCAATGTGCAGCGAGCTGGATCGGCAATGACGGATCCTGTTGCTGTGCCGAGGGCTCTGTAGCTCACAGTTATAAGATTCTGTGACGAAGTTAGCGACTGAAGGGTCTTCACAGAATCTGAGAGGCAAAGAAGAAACACTTCCAAGTGGGTTTGTTGGTGTTGCCTTACTGTGTGGCAGCCTTGGGATGCACATATTGTGGGAAATAGCACAACGAAGAAATATGTTCGGTGCGAAAACCGTGCGAAATGAATTGAGAAATTACCAAGCTACATGGACTTCTCATAACGGAAAGGAAACTGACAGCGACGATGATTGACCCCGCATTCAGGACAGGTGAGCAAAGAGCTTCATCTTCACTGGATGAGGGTTAATGCCACGTCGGCTGCAGCTGAATCTGCTCCCACTGATTCGCGCGGGAAGGCCGCCTCGTACTTAAAACTCGCCTTCCATTCGTTGCGACGAGCCACCCTTCTTTCCTAGTTGGAGGTCGAAGGCAGGTGCCAAATCAGCTCTATTGGATGATTTCGTTATCCAATCAGAGACTAAGCCTTCCGAGAAATGCTGGAAAGCTCTCGGCGCCGGTCGGGGACTGTTGATCCAGTCGCCTTCCACGACAGCACGTGACTGGCTGGTGGAACTTCTGGATGTAGCCAGATCAGCAAAACCTTCCAAAAATCCAGCGACATTCATAGCTGACTTGCAATTTGTTCTTTAAACATTCCAATGTAGATCTCAGGGAGGCATAACAATGCTGATTTATGAGATGTAACAAAGCTTTAATTGTTATGTGTACACTCATGCTGCTGTTACTAGAGTAAGGATGACTTTCAACTACAAAATTGTACAAGACAACGCAATCAAACGCTTGTTCTCTTAACAATAACACTGTTGCCCACAGCCATCATGCCCTCTCTTGCTACCGGCCCTTCTTTCCTGCTGGGTCGGCTAGTTTTGGCAGCAGGTGCACTAGTCGGGGATCTCTGGGCAGCAGACACAAGATACTCCTCCAACCTGAGGACATTCGCACCCTCACTGGCGGACAAAAACGGAACAGTAGACTTGCACAAGGTGACAAACGCAGAGAACGGGGCGGCACGGATCCCAAGCGAAACCATTTCCCTCGCAATCGCTTCCCTCTCTCCCAACCTCTCCCCTCCAGCTCCCATTCTCCCACCACCACCAAAAACACTGCTACCGCCGCCACCACCACCACCACCACCACCTCTCCCATACCCCGCTCCTCCCAAAAGTGCTCGCCCCAAACTCTCCATCACCTTACCCAGATTCTCTACATCTCTCTCCTTGCCACTGCCAAACCGCACCAAAGCAGCGCCACTATCAACTGGTTCGAGCTCCAGGGGTGCGTTGCGGCCCAGGGCTCCCCGCAGGAGGAAGCGCAGGCGCTGGTGGGGGAGGGAGGAGGGCAGACCCCACAGGAAGAGCACGTTGGAACGGTCCTCCTCCTCCCTGCCACTGCTGCTGCTGCTGCTGCTGCTGCTGCTGCTGAGGGTGCTGGGGGTGCTGGTGCTGGTGCTACTGGTGCTTGTGGTGCTGGTGGTGGGGGAGTAGGGGGAGGAGGAATACGGGGGTCCAAAGGAGAAAGTATCAAGGGAGGGGAGAAGGGGAGCGGCACGGGAGCCAATGGCAGCGTGCCCCGTGGCAAGGTCCAGGTGGATGTCCCATGCACCCTTGCCTATGAGTGTCGTGATGTTGGATAGCCCACCCACTGCTGCTTCCGCTGCTAAATGTGCTGATTCCGCCGCTGCTGACGGTGCTGACCCTGATGCTGCTGCTGATGCAGCTGGCGCTGCTGCCACAGCTGCTTCCGTGAGCAGCGATGCTTCTGCTGTGCTTCCGTCGCTGCTCTCGTCACTGTGTTCCCTGTCAGTCCCTACCCTCCCACTCACGACCCCCTCTCCTCGCCTCCACCTCTCCACCACCCATCTCCTCCCTTCCCCCTCTCTCCCCCACTCACCTCTCCCCACCCCCTCCCCCTCTCCATCTCCCAACCTCCCACTCCCTCTCTCCTCTCTCCATCTCTCTGCCTCCTCCCTAGCAGCCGCAGCAGTGGCAGAAGCAGCAGGGGGGAGGGAGGAGAGGCAGTGGGGGGGAAGACCGAGGCGGTGGCAGGCTTGGGCGAACACCACTCCAGTCATAAACGCATCGAATGCTGCCTCGTGCCTTGGACCCTGGCCGTTGGATGCGGAATATCTGACGGTTCAGAAGGGGGTAGAGGGGGTTGGATGGGAAATTGTGGAGGACCCCCTATAACTGTCCCTCCTTCCGCTCCCTATTGCTGCATCCAACCCCAATTACTACGAAGAAGTCTCTTGTTATTGCGAAGGACCAACTCCACCGCAAATCTTCCCACCACCACTTAGCCATCCAACATCCATCCTCCAGCTGTCTCTGTAGCACCAGCTGGCTCGGGCAGTCATCCTGCAAGAAACGAAGCATTCATGCTCACACACACGAGCACGAAGCAAAAGCAGAGACTTCCAGCTAACCTTCCCGCCCGGCTGCACCACTCCTCACCCCCAAGCCAGCTCGGCTGCACCACTCCTCACCCCCAAGCCAGCTCGGCTGCACCACTCCTCACCCCCAAGCCAGCTCGGCTGCACCACTCCTCACCCCCAAGCCAGCTCGGCTGTCTCTGAACATGCCTGGATTACTCGCTCCCGCCCCTCCCTGGAGTCGCGTTTTCGGTACAGACTCCTTCGCGCTATATACACTAAGTACATTATGTACAATTCCTTATCCTTCACCATATCACGCACCCATATGGTTGGTACAAAGAATAAGTGCGTTACTTACCCATATGGTTGGTACAAGGAAAAAGTGTGTTACTTGTCCATATTGGTAACAAAAATTAGTGCGGGTTGGGGACAAACTATGGCTACAAAAAGTGGGGAGGTGGCATGCTTTTCTTTTAGCTGCCTCAAAAGTGGGGAGGTGGCATGCCTGCAGGTACATTATTGCCTCTCATCCTCCCCTGTACTCTCATCCTCCTCTCCTCCCTCACCGCCCCCTCCCCCCTCCTCTCTCGCCCTCCACTCACTACCCCTTCTCTATCTCCTCTCACCCTCCTTTCTCACGCTCCGCTCACCGCCCCCTCCCGCCTCCTCCCTTAACCCCCCATTCCCTTGTCTCCGCCCCCTCTCTCCTCCCCCTCTCCCCCTGCCCTCTCCCCTCTACCCCCTGCCCTCTCCCCTCTACCCTCTACCCCCTGCCCTCTCCCCTCTACCCCCTGCCCTCTCCCCTCTACCCCCTGCCCTCTCCCCTCTACCCCCTGCCTTCTCCCCTCTACCCCCTGCCCTCTCCCCTAAACCCCCTGCCTTCTCCCCTCTACCCCCTGCCCTCTCCCCTCTACCCCCTGCCCTCTTATCCCCCCTCCCCTTAATTCACCTGGCAGCCTCGTGACTAAACTGCACTCGCATGGGCGCCCCATCCACAAACGGAAGGTTCCTGGAAGTATCATAGAGCACGCCCAGTGACGCCCACCTGTTGGTGCTGGCAGCTTCCTGGAAGGTCACGGGAAAAGACAGGGACGAAGTGGGTTGCAAATGCAGCGAGATGACTTTCAAGTCGACTCAAAAGTCAAATGCAGCGAGATGACTTTCAAGTCGACTCAAAAAGCCCAAAAGTTACTTCAGACAACAAAAAAAGCCTTGTATGATGATTGCATCTGCACCATTGCCACACTGAATGCAAAATGCAGCAAGGCAGGTGGTGGCCCACCCCAGAGGGCATGGAAGAGCCAGTGGATCCCCCTCCCTAGAAGAGTGCAGGGCAGCAGCACAGAGACAAGCACCCTTTGCATGCCTCACACAGCCAATGCACAGCATCACGGATACACGCACCTGTGCTAGACGCGACGCAGGCAGCTGGTGACTCAGGCGGATCAGGCAAGAGCCGGCGGTCCTCCCTGCCAGCTGCCTCAGCATCTATCTCTGACATGCAGCAACGTCACACCTGACGCACACCTGTGCTAGACGCGAGGGTTCAGCGAGGCAGCTGGCGTCGAAGAGAGCGGGGAAGAGCCGGCTGACTTCCCGAGAGAAGAGCGCAGAGCAGCAGTCAGAAGCACCCCATTGCATGCCTAACACACCTGAGGTAAGCGTGTAGCAGCAGCGAGGCAGTTGGTGCCAAAGAGAGCAGGGAAGAGCCAGAGGACCTCCCGAGAGAAGAGCGACGGGGAGGGTGAACAGCAGCATAAGAACCACTACGAGCATGCCGCACCACATTGCACCACATTGCACCACATTGCCCTGCACGAACCTGTGCTAGAAGTGAGGCAGCAGCGAGGCAGCTTGTGTCGAAGAGAGCGGGGAAGAGCCGGGTGACCTCCCGAGAGAAGAGCGAGGGGGAGGGCGGAACATGGCCCACAAACTTGTGAAGAATGTGGGCGAGGTCTGCATGGGTGGGGAGCGGTTAGAATGGGGACAGATGAAATCAGTGGGAGGACGGAGATGCTGCAGGTGAGGGGGAGGGCGGAATGTGGCCCCAAAACTTGTGGAGAATATGGGTGAGGTGTGCGTAGGAACGTAGAGGGGATATAAGGAACAGGCGTAGTAGGTTGTTGTGAAGGGCTGAGGTTGAAAGGGACGATGCTGTGTTAGAGTGGAGGGCGGAACGTGATCCAATGTGACCCAACGTAAGAGTGTAAGGGTGGGGCAAACTTGTGGAGAACGTGGGCGAGGTCTGCGTGGGAATGCAGAGCGGGAACACTGGGAAGAGGTGAAATCACAAACTTGCGTGGCGGATGTGAGCGAGGTCTGCATGGGGAGTGGAAGGGAGACGAAAGAAACGGACGGGGTGCCATGTGTAGGCAGTGGAATGGGATGCTGCTGTGTAACGGAAGGGGTGTCATGTGACAGGAGCGCAGGAGCGCGGAACTTGCAGAGAGTGTGAGGAGTTTTGGTGAACGAGAGGAGCGTGCGTGCGTGTCTGTGCGTTTGTGTGTTTATGTGCACATGCACGCACCAAGGAAGCAGGAGTGCGCCACAAGGGGTTTGGTCTGGCACGCCAGAGACAGGGCATCAACCACCCGCCTCACCCCCACTGCTCTGCGCACCACTGCAGCTGCTCCCGCCTGCCGCAGCTCCAGCAGCCGCTTCTGCAGGCGAGTAAGCAGGGGGAAGGGAAGAGGGGGAGAAAGTGAATGCTTTATCCTTGCATGATAGACACATGGTAGACGCATGGTAGACGCATGGTAGACGCATGGTAGACGCATGGTAGACACATGGTATACACATGGTAGACACATGGTAGACACATGATAGACACATGGTAGACGCATGGTAGACACATGGTAGACGCATGGTAGACGCATGGTAGGCGCATGGTAGACACATAATAGACGCATGGTAGACGCATGGTAGACACATGGTATACACATGGTAGACACATGGTAGACACATGATAGACACATGGTAGACGCATGGTAGACGCATGGTAGACGCATGGTAGACGCATGGTAGACGCATGGTAGACGCATGGTAGAGCCATTAAAGGGCGTTCACCACTCGCCTCACTCCCATTGCCCTGCGCACCGCTGCAGCAGCCACTTCTGCAGGCAATGCAGCGCAGAGAGGAATGCAACGGGACTATGGCACGAAGGGAAGAAAAGGTAGAACGGTGACGAAGTGAGTGCCTTACTGCTGCAATGGAAGGGAGAATGGCAACAGAGTGAGTGGGTTACTACAGTCCCTCACCTGCACTCAGTCCCCTTTGCCCACTTCCTTTAGTCGACTGAAAGACACATTTACAAATAAGATATTTCTTTTACTCACCTGCAGTTCCTCAGCCTCCTCCTTTGAGCCGCACAGGAAGAGCCGCACTCTCTTGTATGCACCAATCCGCTCCTCGTGTGATGCTAGATAGGGGTGCTTATAACGAATAGCCTGTAGTCGAAGGCCCAGGCATTTGAAGAAAAAAATGCAATATTAAACAGGAAACGTGGGCGTGAGTGATAACAAGCCGATTTTTTGTAGGTGAAAAAATGTCAGAGTGAGTGACGATGTTGGTGGAGAGAAAGGGGAGCGTACCACACCAATTAGATAGCAAAACTTGTGAGGCACCTAAAGTACTACCTTTGTTGAGAGTTTTTTTGTCCCATGGAATCATGACAGATTCATGAAAAAACTGTGGCGTGGCATCGAGTGGGTGGCTCGTCGTTTACAGAAAATGACACGGCACGGCTCCTCACCTGATCGGCGGCATGGCAGTTAAATGCATCGTTTATTCGAAGAGACAGCCACGGCCTCTTCCCAACCACTGCTGCTAATGCAGGCTGTAAACCACTGTTGCTGCTGCTGCTGCTGCTGCTGCTGCTTCCATCCCGGCCCACTGCAACCTCCCCTGAAAATTCCTCCACACCCTCCCCACGCAGACCACTCGCGACTCCCCTTGCCAACAGCTGCTCCTGCTGCTGCTCCTGTGCTGATCGGAGTTGTGCGAGCCACAAGTCAACACGAGCCAGGCTCTTCACAGCAAACTGCACACCGGGGAATGGCGGGCTCGACGGGTCACTGCTGTTGCTGCTGTCCCGCCAGCTGTATCGGCTAATGCTGCTGGCAGTGGTGGTGGTGGTGGTGGTGGTGGTGGTAGCGGTGGTGGTGGTGTTGGTGGGCTGTGCCACGTCAGCGCTGCCTTGTTGGCTGTGCCACGTCGGCATTGCATGTGATTGTCGGGCTGTTGCTGGTGGGGGAGGGATGTCGAGAAACTTCCATGCGGCTTCCTCTTGCTCGTAGGACAGGTACGAGATTCCTGCGGAAATGGACGGATGAGGTTGCATCGGGGGTTTGGAGATGGGATGGAAAACGGATGCACGGATGCACGGATACATGGATGCATGGAGGGATGGATGCACGGATGCATGGATGCATGGATGCATGACCATCATAATCGTTCGGACCACCATCACCCACCATGCTCCACCCACCAGCACCGCCACCCATCGTGGTGCACCCATCACCCATCATAGCACTCACCAGCACCACTGTCCACCGCCACCCACCATGGTGCACCCAGGAGTTGAAGTCAAGGTGGTGTTCTGCCAGGAACTCCAATGAGGATGGCTGGCACTGGAAGGAGTGCATCACAGGCACCTCACACCACACCACCACCCCCCACCACTCATCACCCATCCCCACCCACCAGCACCGCCACCCACCGTGTTGCACCCAGGAGTTGAAGTCGAGGTGGTGTGCTGCCAGGAACTCCAATGAGGATGGCTGGCACTGGAAGGAGTGGATTACAGGCACATTACATCACCACCACCCACCACTTTTCACCCATCACCGCGCCACCAGCACCACTACGCACCGTGCTGCACCCAGGAGTTGAAGTCGAGGTGGTGTGCTGCCAGGAACTCCAAGGAGGACGGCTGGCACTGAAAGGAGTGTGCCGGCACGCCCTTAAAGCCCGGGATCTCTGACCGAGGGAACACCTTGAAGTTGAACCTGTGCGGGCGAGGGGAAGGGGCAGGGACCGTGGGGTGGTGGGTGGGTGGAGAGTGGGTGGGAGGGGGGAAGGCAGAGAGGGGTGAACTCCAAGGAGGACGGCTGGCACTGGAAGGAGTGTGCCAGCATGCCCTTAAAGCCCGGGATCTCCAAACGAGGAAACACCTTGAAGTTGAACCTGGGTACAGAAGAGGGGACGTGGTGGGATAATGGTGGGGGAAAGGGGGGAGGAGGGGAACGGTTGGGGTAGTGTTTGTGGGGGGAAAGGGGAAGAGAGAGAAGGTTAGCTGAGCTCCAACAACGACAGCTGGCACTAGAAGAAGTGTGCCGGCACAACCTTAAAGCCCGGGATCTCTGATCGTGGAAACACCTTGAAGTTGAACCTGTCGAGGAGTGTTGGATGGGGACGAGGAGGAAAAGGGAGAGGAGGATGACGTCGCGTGCTGGCACTGGAAGGAGTGTGCTGGCACGCCCTTAAAGCCCAGGAATTCTGAACTTGGGAACACCTTGAACGTGCACACACCCAGGTGTTGCTGTGGCCCTGATATAAAGGGTAGTCACGCGGATGAACGATGAACTCTCTTTGCTGCTGCTGCTTCTGCTGCTGCTGCTGCTTCTGCTGCTGCTGCTGCTACTTCTGCTGCTGCTGCTTCTGCTGCTGCTGCTGCTGCTGCTGCTGCTGCTGCTGCTGCTGCTGCTGCTGCGACCTTGATTAAAAAGGGTATTCACGGGTAAACAATAAATTCCCTTTGCTGCTCGTCCCACTTGAACGTGCACACACGCCTAGTTGCATCACAGTGTTCGATGAGACAGAAGCACAACTCACGGATGAACGATGAACGCTATCTTTCCTTGGTACCACTTGAACGTGCACACGTGACACGCCCAGGTGTTGCTGTGGCCTGATAAAAATAATACTTACGGGTCAACAATGAACTCTCTTCTCACTTCGTCCCACTTGAACGTGCACACGCCTAGTTGCATCACTGCGAATTGCATGGCACTGTGCCGCCCGTGCAGGAACCGCGTCGCTACAGTGTCCGAATCCAACGGTCGTCTGAACGACCCCGAATCCAGACCGCTCATTTCCAGATCCAGACAAACGAAGTCAGCCGCTTGCAGCGCGGGTTGGAATTGGGTTTCGAACACCTCCTCGAAGTTTTCGCGGGTTACCGAGGCTACGGCGAGGTTCGGAGGCAGGTTCGGTGGCTGGTGCCGAGGCTCGGGTTTGGGTTGTGCCGAGCCTGGCAGTTGGATGGTGGAGATGCTGCGGCGACCAACGGCAAGTGACGTGATATCCGGCGGGAAATGCGCTGGTAAGTGCGTGTCGACGCGGAATCGGGGTCCCCAGAAGGAGCGAGGAAACTTCCTCGAGGATGTCCGTGCAGGCGATTTGGAGTGAGGAATATGGCTGAGTGCTACTATCGAGGGACCATGCCGGAAGTGTGACAATGTGGAATGAGCGGTGCTGCTGGTGGGAATGCGCGACGAGGACGATGGGCCGGCGCGATATGAACTGTTGGATGGACTAGCCAGTAGACTAGCCGGCATACCGGCTGTCAGACTGAATGCAACGCGGTGAAGCTTAAAACGCTGATGGAGTGTACTCTGAACGGTGGAGGGGTAAGTCGAGGGCACTGACGAAGAGGTAGCAGATGACGTAAGCGAGTGGCACGCGATTAGAGAGCGCGAGGCGATCAAGGTCGGAGGGGTGACTAAAGACGGAATCGTCAATCGAGTACCGATAGTCCGAGCACAGGGATCACAAGCTGATCTAAGTCGCGACAATATCGACGCGGGCGAGGCCGTCACTATCGAGGCGCGCGAGGCGGTCAGAATCGAGACACGCGAGGCTTTCGATACCGAGGCACGCGACGCCGAGAGAGAGCACGCCATAATTCCGAGCGCTTTCGAGCCTCAAAGAACCAGGCCGATCCTCTGTAAATCCTCACACCGCCAGCTGCGTTGCTCTCCGCGCCTTAGACGCTAGCGGTAGGTCCATCTGTTGAGGATTTAGGGTGCAAGCCAGGAGGGGGATGAAGCCTCGAAAATATTTAATATTATGAGCCTCGTTACTGCGTACAGTTTTTAAAGAAATTGAACGGTCATACTGAGTGAGTCTTATTATGTTTCAGGTTCAGTACAGTTTAGACACGACTACGGGGCAAGGCGAGGAAGCACCACTCGCTGCTGCTTGGCCGAGCCGAAATTTCTAGTTCGGTACAAACTGATTGAGAATGTTACAGAGCGGCACAGGCTGGTTCACTGGCAAGCTTCCTTGCCTTGGTGCGAAGGAGCACACCCAGCCGGAGCTCTCCCTTCGGCTTTGATTTGATTGGTTGGTTCCTTGCCAAGCCTAGGAAAAAACTCTTAGAGAGGTGCGGTAGTCGGACCTGAGCCCGAACCGACGTGTGCTACGACATTTTGCGGTGCACACCGCACAGTCACAACATACACCAGCGCTTACCGCGGGGGGAAAGACTCGGGGAAAGGTAGTTTACCCGGGGGTCGTGCGCGCGCGCGCGGTGATGATGGGGTGTGCGCTAGCTAGCTCTCGAAAGCTCAGGCAAATTCACATTTGTGATTCGCCCATAGCACTCCCGAACCCAACCTGACGTGATGGTTTGGTGAATGGCGTGGCGAATCGTGTGTCACACGGGGACTCATGACAACTGTCACCCAGGTCAGGTCAGGGGGTCAGGTCAGGTGTGTGCTAAAACGGGATCAGCGCGTGAGAGTTTGCAAGGATTCCCTGAAGCAGGAATTCCGAGTCACTACTTTCCTCGCACACCAAGCCATGCCTGCCTGTAGAGGACTAGTACAAATTCAGAGACTAAATCCGCGGGAGCTCGTTTCTCCCGCGTTCTTCTAGTGACAGGGTGTTCGTGCCGACAAAGCTGTTTATTATAATAAACCACCCTCCGCTCGCGCAGTTGCGTCGAGCATTTCGTTTCTTCTCCCAGCGAGAGCGGCACCGGTCCTGCCGACGAAGCGGTTCACATAGAAGCATCGACCGCTCACGCATTCCCGTGATACCTTTCGTGCCTTTTCCTTTGCGCGGAGAGTTCTGAGTCGACCTAGAAGTCACTTACAATAGAAACACCCTCCGTTCTCGCATTCGCGTCAAACCTTGTCGTGTCTTCTCCTATGCGCGGAGAGCTCGGCATGGGGTGGGCCGCGCCGCGTCGTTCCGTGGCGTCAATATCCGCGTTAGTAGTCGCCGCGCTTCTCGTTAGCATACCTCCGCGGGTCTCTTTCGCGGCCACGGACCCCGCTCAAGGTAGGGAGATCCCACTCTCGTTGACATAATCCTGGCTCGATCTTTATGACGGAGTGGTGTTTGGAGGTTAACAACGGAAATTTACCATTGTAGAGGAAAGTGTCCGCGCCTTGCAGGTCGTTGTGAGAAATTTAATCAACGACCTCTGAAATAACCCCCTTTCTGCTACAGAGGTCTAGGGCACGGGTGTTATGACAGAAAGTAGCGCGCGACTTCGCGCCAAGGGCTTAACCGTTAGGCTCGCGCTTTTTCTTCTGAAACCCCTGTTTAGCTCCCCATTCGTCGGTTTTACTGCCACTTCTCCGCAGCTGCTGCTTTTCGGAAATCCCTTTACTCCGCTCGGCAATCCCCATGCTCTTCTCGGCAATCCCTATGCTCTTTCGGCAATCCCTATGCTCCCTTCGGTAATCCCTATGCATCCACTGCCATCACTCTCACACCCACAGTGGCCATTTTACAACAGATTGCGGGCCTGGGGAACGCTAACGACGCGCCATTCAACACGTGGATGGGCGGCGACCCCTGTGGGCACTATCACATTCAGGTTACCTTCCCCCATCACCCCTACACTCACGTTCATGCGTGCACCCCACAGTGGCCATTCTACAGCAGCTTGCGGGCCTGGGGAACGCTAACAACGCACCCTTCAACACGTGGACGGGCGGCGACCCTTGTGGGGCGGCATGGGATGGCGTCAGGTGCTCCGCTGGAGGTGGCGGTTACGACGTGGTTACCGAGCTGTGAGTGTCATTGCGAGGGTAGGTCCCCCGAGTGCAGTGCTGGTGATTCTGTGTCGAGTTGGGTGCTGCTTGGGATGGCCTCAGCGTCAGGTGCTCGGCTGGCGGTGGCTGTTACGACGTGGTTACCGAACTGTGTCGTTGCGAGGCCTCGAGTGCAGTGGCTGGTGATTCTGAGTCGACTCAAGAGTTGCATGCTGCTTGGGATGGCCTCAGCGTCGGGTGCTCTGCTGGCGGTGGCGGTTACGAACTACGTGGTTACCGAACTGTGAGTGTCATTGTGAGGGCAGGTCCCGCGTGCAGCGACTGCAGCTGCTAGTGACTTCGAGTTGACGCAATGGTCACTGGCGGGCGGCGTGGGCCAGCAGGCAGGTGCCCTGCTAGCGGAGGCGGTTACGACGTGGTTACCGCACTGCGGGTACGATTGTGAGGGTAAGCCTTCAGTGCTATTGTGAGTGCAGCTGCTGTGGCATTTATGTTGACTCCAGAGTCACGTCTCGTGCTGCTTGGGCCGCGTCGGGTGCTCTGATGGCGTTGGCGGTTACGATGTGGTTACCGAACTGCGAGTGCATATGTGAGAGTGTAGCTCGAGGGTAGGTGCGAGAGGGTAGGCGCAAGCGTAGGTGCGAGGGTAGGTGCGAGGGAAGGTGCGAGGGTAGGTGCAAGTGTAGGTCCGAGGGTAGGAGCGAGGGTAGGAGCGAGGGTAGGTGCGAGGGCAGGCGCGAGGGTAGGTGCGAGGGTAGGTGCGAGGGTAGGAGCGAGTGTAGCGCTAGGGCTGGTGCATGGTCTCGATTAGAGTAAACTCCTTTCACACACGTTTTCACTCTCTCATCCCCTCTCTCCCTCCCTCGTCTCCTCTTATCTTTCTCCTCCTCTCGACCACACTCTACCATCTTTCTCGAAGATGCAAAACCGATTGATGTTTTGCCTTTTGAGGCGCCTCAAAACTCGTCTCCTCTCGCTCATCTCCCTCCTCCTCCCCTCCCCTCCCTTCCCTTTATTACCAGCTTTCTCGAGGATGCAAAGCTGACTGGCACTTTGCCGCCGTCCCTCTTCGACCTCACAACCCTACACACTATGTGAGCTCTCTTTCCTTACCCCTCCCCTTCTCGCCGTCCCTCTTCGACCTCACAACCCTACACACTATGTGAGCTCTCTTTCCAATACCTCTCTCTTTCCACTTACCTTCCCCTCCACTCCTCTCTCTCCACTTACCTTTCCTCCACTCCTCTCTCTCCACTTACCTTCTCCTCCACTCCTCTCTCTCCAATTACCTTCCCCTCCACTCGTCTCTCTCCACTTACCTTCCCCTCCACTCGTCTCTCTCCACTTACCTTCCCCTCCACTCGTCTCTCTCCAATTACCTTCCCCTCCACTCGTCTCTCTCCACTTACCTCCCCCTCCACTCCTCTCTCTCCACTTACCTTCCCCTCCACTCCTCTCTCTCCACTTACCTTCCCCTCCACTCCTCTCTCTCCACTTACCTTCCCCTCCACTCCTCTCTCTCCACTTACCTTCCCCTCCACTCCTCTCTCTCCACTTACCTTCCCCTCCACTCCTCTCTCTCCACTTACCTTCCCCTCCACTCCTCTCTCTCCAATTACCTTCCCCTCCACTCCTCTCTCTCCACTTACCTGCCCCTCCACTCCTCTCTCCACTTACCTTCCCTCCACTCCTCTCTCTCCACTTACCTTCCCTCCACTCCTCTCTCCACTTACCTTCCCCTCCACTCCTCTCTCTCCAATTACCTTCCCCTCCACTCCTCTCTCTCCACTTACCTGCCCCTCCACTCCTCTCTCCACTTACCTTCCCTCCACTCCTCTCTCCACTTACCTTCCCTCCACTCCTCTCTCCACTTACCTGCCCCTCCACTCCTCTCTCCACTTACCTTCCCTCCACTCCTCTCTCCACTTACCTTCCCCTCCACTCCTCTCTCTCCAATTACCTTCCCCTCCACTCCTCTCTCTCCACTTACCTGCCCCTCCACTCCTCTCTCCACTTACCTTCCCTCCACTCCTCTCTCTCCACTTACCTTCCCTCCACTCCTCTCTCTCCACTTACCTTCCCTC